AAACAAAAAGCAAATTCTTAAAAGCTTTTGGGGTTCAGAGTTCTTCTGAGGTGGCAAAACCCACAAGAAATTGGAAGACTGCATTTAAGATAATGGATTCTTCTCTTTCTGTATGTAAATATAGTTCTTGCTGTTATCATGAATGAGAGTTAAATTCAAAAGAGGATAATTGATCGGTAATGACATCTCATGAGATGTAGTGGTTCCTAGTAGAAAATTAATTCCGGTTTCTGTTGCTGGTTTGGAAATCAAGAAGAAAACCTTTAGGGAAAGTGACCTTTTTAATGAGTCCTATTTGAACACAGTGATGAGTGCTGTATAGAAACTTAAATCAGTCTGCCTTTCAAGTTTTCAGTGCTCATTTTTTTCAATTCAGAACAGTAAATGAAACTCTGTGAAAATGGGTAAGAAACTGAAAACACTATTTTGGTGTGTATTGTGGAATTTCTGATTAGATGCATTTGGGGATATTAAAGCTGATGTGCCAATCACGGAGTGATAGTTTCTGCTCAATAATATTACGTAACTCCCCCAACAAACCCAAACAAACAAAAAAAACCCCAAATACCACCCCCCCACCTCCAGTTTTCATACTTGGAGTTTAAAAATTTATTGAAATCCATAGGCAGTTCGATTTGCAATGCAAACTATGTATATTAACTGGCTCTCAGGAAAGGAAACATTGGTGATACAAATTTGAGCAATGTTTGAGTTGAGGCATGCCTTGATGAAAAGTACTATTTTTGTGATCTTTAGAATGGGTATTTTGATAGCTGTTACTTACTGAATTACTGATTTTTTAGATTTTTTTTTTTTTCTCACTGTGCATATTTGGTAACTCCATCACACCAGGAGTTTTTTATCTACCCTGCTGCATAACATAATTGATACTTAAATAGGGGTTTTTTTAGTCACTTTCTCTCATATTTGTTTTCCAAAAAGTTACTTGTGTCTGCAATATGTTTAATGTGTCCTTTATTTGAAGTGAAGCACAGGATGATAACACTGGTAATACTGATAACCTGATGTTACTGAAACAGCAACTGACAGAAGCACAAAGGATGGCTGTGAGCTAACTCACTGTGGATTGATTTGCAGCTTTTCAATAATAGTAAAAATATGATACAACTAATTTCATAAAGATATAATTATGTAAAATGTAAAAAAAAAAGTAGTACATGGCAGAACTTAGGGTCTTCTTTATAAAGTTGTTGATGGATGATGAAACCCCACTGGCTATTGCTTGTTTTGCACAGGTTGGTATTTTTTCAGTTTAATATGCAGTGCATATTAAAAAACATGAGGTGATAGGACTATCACCGAGAAGAATTTATAGCTAAAGGGATAAGCACCTTGGCTAATGAAAATGAGGTTTTTGTGGAGCTTTTGCTAAATGAATACCTCCCTTTCTGCCTAATCTTTGCCCCAAAACTGAAATCACACTGAGCAAAAACTGAATCTTAATTGTAGCTGTAATGGATCAAACATTAGCTGACTTAAGGCTTCTTGTGTTTCAGTGCCCACTAAAGCTTTTCATATTTATTATTCTTGACCGTCTCCCTTGTTCTGTGGATTTTCAGCATGCCAGGGAAATGTAAAACCTGGAGATTAAGGAAAGCTGGTTGTCAAAAGAAAGCCTGTGGGGGAATGGTAGATGTTGATATTTGGGACTTGCTTTCAAAGCAAAAAGTGCAAATGTGTTTCAGCTTCAGGTAGCTCATGGGAAAGCCTGTGATGGGATTCTTATGCACCTGGATGCAGACCCTTCTGTACTTGAAAATGGCTGCAAGAGGGCTTTTAAACTAAAGAGTAAGGTTTTATTTAAAATTGAATTAGAATAGTCAACTTCTAATGTAACAAAAACTTACAGTAAGATTGAATAGAAATAATACCAGCTTTTTCTCCCAGGTATGTCCTTTCAAGGCAGGTCTTTTATGGGCTTTCTTGAAACCTGAGCATTCACTGACTTCTGGGCTTGCAGCAAACTCTGCAATCTCCTTGAGGTTCTTACAAAGTCTCTCATTTTTTTCAATGGTGTTGGAGGCCCGGTCTTAAGACTGACACAGTCCTTTATTTTGAGCTCTCCTTTCTCTGCTCTGCTTATCTGCCTCTGCATTCCGGCTTCTTGGGCAGACCTTCCAGGGAAAAGCAAACATTCTTTTCCTTCAGCAGATTGTGCATGATTGAGTACCTGTAATTAGGGCAAAGCATGTAGCAGCTTTCACTCTGCTGCTTATTTGCAGCATTTAAAAGACATGTAGCATGTTCAGAAAAAATAATTGAGAAAAAATACAGCTTGTCACAGAGCTAAATTGGGTCAGAGATAAATTGTTTCCCTGCTCCATACTTTTGTCATGCTGTCCTTCCCATGGTCAGGTATGTTGTGCCCTTAAGAGCTTTTGCAGATCCTGAGCAAAGTACAGTTTACAGAGTCAAGGCGATGCGGATGCGTGATACTCTCAGGCAGGCAGTTCTGTATTTCCTGATTTTTTCAGATTGATTTTTTTTTTTTTTTTTTTTTGGTTAATCAGTGTACTTGCTTTTGAAGTCTAGAACCCCACAGTGCAGTGTTAGGCAAGCCTAACTATGGCAGAATCTCTTTTTTATGGGTATGTTATTAAAAAATCTAAGCTAAATGAAGTATTTCTTTCTGTTACTTAAGAATAGATAGAATGATATATTGATAAAATACTTCTTTCAAAGAGGTGAAAAATCATGAGAAAATGATTTAATATTTCTGTCTCTTGGGGAAAGAGGTATTTTAGATTTTTGGAAAAGCTTCAGTGAGTAAGTGCTATTTGATTGTAACTACTATAAATGAATTATCTACTACGTTGGTTTTAACGTGCTAATACAGTGAAAAGGCTTCCTTTTGAAGATCTGAGAGGCTTACTTAGCACTGGAAGCTAATTATGAATACTGATGCTTATTTATGCTTCTGTATGCACATTTTTTATACTAGTAATTCTATGATGTTGAATTTGTCCTTGTATAATTTTCAAGTGTCATGCTTAAAATGTGCTCATCACTTGATAAATTATCTGATAGTTTCTTTAACTCTTTTTCAGATCTTTGAAAGAATTTTATTTATCTGGGCAATACGTCATCCAGCCAGTGGATATGTTCAGGGCATAAATGATCTTGTTACTCCTTTTTTTGTAGTCTTCGTTTGTGAATATATAGGTAAGATTTGTCTGAATACTGAATTATGAATTGGTACTAGTTTTGGAACTGTATCTTCATTTCAATCTGAATAATGATTTGGATAAGCTAATCAAAGCTTAGTTTTATGCGTAACATTTTATAATTATAATTCTGTATAGTTCTCTTTAAATATATACTGAGAAGCAGTCACGTAAGTCACTGGAGTTCAGGATTCCTTCAGTTTTTCTTTCTAGATAACCTCTCCCCTCAACAAAACCCAACTGAACAACCCTCTGTAGAAGTTGCAGACGGTGTTCTCGTTTGTCAGATCTGAAAGCAGGGGAAAAAGGCATGATCTAGGATTTACTTTCATCTTGATCTCTAGTTAAGAAGTAAGTGTTCACTACTCCTGATGCTTTTTTCTTCATAGGTGGTTTTATTCTCCCTTTTTCTCTCTCCTGTTTCACATTGCTTGTGTAACTCTAAATTGCATGCATGAAATGAGCAGGGGTTTAAAAATTGTATGTATGAAATGAGCAGGGATTTAAAAAATGTAACCAAAATCAGGCAACAACAATGAAACCTCCCCAAAAACAACACAACAAAACAAAACAAGAAAAACAAACACAGGAAACAAGAAAACCTTTTAAATGAATGGCAGGGAAATCAGAAGGAACATGCTAAAGTGGATCTGTGACTGAAATAATAGCAACCTGGGATTCGGGTATAAAAATTAAGGCAGCAGTAATCAAATTTCTCTGGTTGAAAACTCTGCCCTTCTGGGGCTTACAACACTAGTAACAATAGTAAACAGCTGTATTTCTTTTGAGTTGGTGGCCTTATATGTGTGTGTACTTTTTGAGAACTTGTTATTTGGCAAACATGGATACTGGTTAAATGCTCAACTCTTACACGAACACCATCCATATCTTAAATTTATCGATTGGTATTTATGTCTTTATAAATATTAAGAGTTTGGCTAATTGTTGACAACAATTCATTAATAACTTGGTTATAACTATGGTGTAAAAGGTAAGGCTAAACAGTAAAAATGACAATGCTAATCTGTCTTGAATTAAAACTGTTTTCCTCGTATTTCTATTTGTCATACAGACATACAATGAAAATGCACAATGCTTATATATAAAGTTGAGCAATGCTTTGCCTGGCTACTTCAGTGAGGCTGTATTTACTGATTCTTCTTACCTTCTCTATGCAAGATACCCATTGGTGTCTTAATCTGGATTGATTAAATTTAATGAAGGACAGATTATCCTTGAGTGGATGATAGACTACCCATTTACTCATTTGCATGGCAACACCTCTGTTGCTTTGTTAATTTCTTGTTTCATAGGGGGACATTCCATTGCTAAGCAACTAATGAGAACTACTGCTGCCTTCTCCCTAATCATCTCTTAAGTAGGGTAGAGGCCTACTCCTGAGAGTACTTGCAGTGTCTGCCTTTTACTCCCTCATTTGACAGATAATGAAAATGTTCTTAATGATCCTAGAACAGTAGGGTCTCTAGTAGACTTTAGGGTTGTTAATTGAAATAAGAAGTTCAAATGAGATGTGATTAGAGAATTGATATTCTATGTTAAATAGACCGTTTAATTAATATGGTAAATAAGTTTGTCTTTACCACCAACTTACATTTGGAGACCCTGCTGATTTTAATGTATTTGCCAGTTTGTCAGTATTTTCATATTGGAGAGCATAACTGATTCAGGGAGTGTCCAGTAGAAAAAAGACAAAACTCAAAACCTAACAACTGTAAAAGATATTTTGTCACTGAAAATGTATGAAACTCAGAAAACTGCATTCTGAAAGCTGATTTAAAAGCTAATATCTATATAATCAGAAAAATACTGAAATGAGGGCATTTTCTTCAATATATTAGTGGTCCTCGCTAAGCGCTAACAGCAGTTACTTCCCCCAGTGACATAAAAACTTCCTAAGATTTGTCTTTAAATAGCTTTTTGATTTGGGTCTTTCTATTTATACTGAGTGATGCATTTGGGTTAGAATGAATAAGAGTGTGCATTGCACTTAAATCTGAAATGGGAACATTAAATTTACAAAGCACTTCAAAAATCCTGAGATTTGTCATAAAATTATAGAAGGATTCAAAACTCATGCTATGAACTGTGCTTAAGTGATACAGGTAGAAATAAATGCAGAGCAGTGGAGGTTTCCTAGCAAAAATGTTTAGGCTATTAGTGTATTTAATATTTGCTCCAGTAATACTCTGTATTTACCTCAGATTTTATTCTGGATCTTATTTCTTGCTCTGATTTACGTCAATATTGGTTTGTACCTTAAATTGCTTTATTTATTGTTTTCTTTTAGCTATTGATTTTTGTGTATTTTTTCATTTTAACTGGAACCTTTGTGTTGCAGCTCTGAGTCACTTGGGTCCTAATTCATGCCATTGAAAGTGATGATAATGCCTTATAATTAAGAGGTCCTAAAGGAATAATAAAGATTAATAAATTCTTCTTGTTAACAAAATGACATTATAATAAATCTGTGCTGATTAGATCATCTAATGGTATATCCTGATAACATTTACACACAATTGCAGTTTTGTCAAATATTTTGGTGGGAGGAAAGCCATGTTTATTTTAGCTTTATGGCAACTGAGAGAGCTCTTAATCCATAATCTTGCATGACAAGTATATAACGTATTTATTCTAGTGATGGGAATATTTCTGATCTGCTAAAGACATAGAGAAACCATTTGGAAAACTGTTGTAAAAGAACTTTTGAACAAAGAAATGACGTGTATGGAAGTGATAATTTACTTGCCTTTTCATTCAGATCTGAATGGCACAAAGTAGGTTTGTGGGTCTTTTTATAAGGACTGAAGTCATAGATGTTTTGAGGGCTTAGTATGGATTGAGGTACCTAATTTTAGCACATAGGTTCACACATTTAGAGTATGTTAAGTGACTGAAAGTACAAATTCAATATGTTAAACATAAGCATTCTTTCAACCTTTCCAGCAGTGTAAGGATGATGAAAGTGTAATTTGGGAATGACTCATTAGTTCTCTATTTTGCAATGGAAGTGGAATACTGTAACATTTTCAGCAAGATAGAAATTAGTTGTCAAATGAAGCCAAGGAGAGGCACAACTGCAATTAAAGAAAATTTTAGGCTGGTTGACGCCAGCCCTTGCTGGAACACAGTGGATTCAAGTTAGGATTTCTGATCTAAATGAGGAGGAGGAGGAATTTGAACCTGTGAAAAATACTAGAGGTCTGTAAGCTTATTCTGCTATAACATAACAGCTTCTTTGGAATTTTAAAGCTAGTGGTATGGGAAAACTATTTTGTGCTTACTTCTAATCTCTTACATGACATAACAGTGTTACAACATATGCTGTCAGAAGGAATGCTGATTACTGTCAGGGCAGTTTTCTTGAAAGCTCTGTAACTTTGTAGCATATTAGTTTGTGTCAGAATTAATCTTGTCCATATGGATGCAATTCCAGAGATGTTTCGTTAATGAGATAAGATATACCATGTGACTGCTCACTGTTTGACTAAATGTGGACAAGGAAATTTTGCACTGGATCACAAGTCCTATTTCAAGTTGTACATGTGTTGCTCTCTGTACACCGTCCTGTTGCTCTGAGTTCCAGTCATTAAGTTGTGCTGCACAGTTGCTTTTGGTTTCTTGCTCATGGAGTCAGTTACGCTTCACTACATCTGACATTTCAGTAGTACATCTGCATTTCATTAATTCACTGGGCCTTGTGTGTATATCTAGAACCACAGGGAGGACCTGGATTTACTCACCATCCAGAGAGATGAAAGCTCAAGAGAAACACCATCATAATAAGAATGCATGCCAGGCCATTGATAAGTGGAATGGCTGTGTGAAAACACTTTGAGACCTCGTAGCACTGTTCGATCAAGAGAAAATTAGGAGTAAGTAGGAAATCAGTGGCAGAAAACAAACACTATTGTAGCACTTCATCATTTTATGTTGGATAAAGAGTGCGAAGGAAGATGACGCTGCTTAAGACTGGAATGGTGATTCAGATACTGTCTGCAGTCTTGTAATAGAGGAGCTGAAGACAATTTGAGGATGTCTACAAGAACTCATGAACTGAAAATTTTTGAAGGAAGGGTCTTACTCTTGTAAGTATTTTTCTTGTGATCTTAAATCCTTCTATAGAAGGCATTTAATGCAACTTGTGTTACGTAGTATTCTTAAATTGATACTAGCATGACTTTATGGAATAATTAATCCTGGCTGAAATCCTAATAGAATTGGGATGGGATTTAGTCCCAGACTAGTATTACTATGAGAACGTAAAGTTTCTTTGGTCCTGGAAAATTAGTCATCTGTCTGTACCTCCCTTGCTTAGCTTTTCATTCCCTGTCATGTGTCACAGGAGTCTTCCTGTCCTTAAAATTAGATTTCATACTGATTATTACCTTTGTTTCATCCTTTTCAGCATACCTACTGCAAAAAATGTAATTTAAAACTGTTAGGTTTTTTTTTTCCCAACTGTTGAATACTGTATCTAAAAATGTTAATTTCTTAGTATAATTGGAGTAATATTTCAGAGCATTGTATCATGGCTCTATCTGAGGTAATTCCTCAGTGTTTGTTCATAAAATATGAAAAATCTGTCCATTTATCAGATTTTCAAAGATATTTGTAATTTTTATGCAATAAATACATCTATTTAGACAGTACATAAAACTGCATTTCTGAATGATGAGGCAGTAAGCCAGAGAGGAAAGTGTATTAACCCACTGACTTCAGAGAGCTGCTAGAAGTTTTCTTATATTTACAGTGTTAGAAGGTAAATTTTGTTTAGTGTGCATTATTTCCTTTACAAGACCAAGCTGAAGCCATGGTTGCTGCAGTATATAAATTAATCTGAGATAATGAATCCTGGTATCTAAACACCTAGACCTTTCTTAATCAGTTCCTCCAATGCACTAGTCCTTGGAGAATTATGAACAGGGCTCATGCATTGGGGTTTTGAGGAGGTATAGTGGAAAAGATGTAACATAGTTG